GTGCGGTTGATATATATTTGGCAAGTTATCAATAATGTGTTATTGCATTGATTGGAGTAAAATCTATGTATAGAATATATATGTCCTGCTTTCTAACTTACAGGGTTTAGACACCGCTTGGTCAAGCAAAGACCCCTGGCTTGTAACAATAATTCCCATAAACGCTATACTGAACGACATTTTGCAGTATGCTAAAATCTCACAGACCCGATACCCATTCTAGTTTACCCTAATATTAAATTCAGATAGATTTTATCGACCTTGATGCCAAATTACCATTGATCCCATACCGATCGAGAATTTCAAGTGATATTAATTTACTATAGACGCTATAGCAACAAAGATTTGCCATACTGTTAAATTTCTATAGAACCTAAACGGACGCAAATGCTGCTTTATTATGAACTTTGAAACGACCCAAACTGATCCTCTTTACTACTGATGCAGATTTTTCTTTTATAAATAAATCTAATAGTGTGTATGCTTATTTCATCATGTTCGTTTAAAAGTTTAGATACGAAATTGCAATATTGAAAGAAATGAACGAAGTGTACAACGATCAGTTTCTCTTACATTCGATTTTAAACATTTAAATTTTTGGTTTTGACTGAAATCCTACCGTTCCATAACAACCTAATTTATTTGAAAGTTTTACTAGAAAGAAAGAAAGACAACGTATTTTACTTAATAGGATATCATAATTGGATACATTAATTGGATATCTTAATTTGATTTCTTTGCTAATTGTAACTTAAGTGTAAATGAGATAAATTAATTTTTATTTAGCAACTGGTCTCAGATTTGAATTGGTAGCAAGAAAACTATATATTTAGCAAATTTTGCATAAGTAATGCGAAAATAATAATAATAATAATAATAATAATAATAATAATAATAATAATAATAATAATAATAATAATAATAATAATAATAATAATACAAATATTCCACACTGGATTAAAGACTTCACGTCGGATAGTAAGGATTACACGTTGGGTTAAAGACTCAACGTCGAATAGTAAGGATTACACGTTGGATTAAAGACTCCACGTCTGCGGGAAGTGCAATGACCAGAGGGAACAGTTTTGCTGTGCAAATTGACTCCGTTGATTGAAGAGAGTCGTCAGCAACCAGTACATGTTATGTAGAAATGACGGGCTATAACACATTGGTCGATCATCATCTAAACATCATTGACAACCATAAAAAGGTAATAAGACACCATAAAAGGGTGGTTCAACGTTTTAATTTAAAGCTCTGCTTCATCATAAGTTGGATCAACACTTTAGGTAGAGGGCCAGATCATCAGTAAATATTAATGAAAGGAAATAATGTAAAGAAAAATGCATTGAATTATTCACTGGGTTAAGGCACTTGTAAAATGGGTTTGGAGGTATTTCTCGAAGGGTGAAGAACTACGATACAGCTTGGTGCACGTTGCTTATTTTGGCGAAAACACAAAATATACGTGTATTTATTTTGTTTTCTTTTTCTCCTGATATGGATCGATTTTCTTAACTGATGTATATATTCTTTACTCATACATTGGGTATTTATTATTATAATATATAGTGGTGGTCATACATTTCAATATATGCTTTTATTTTTTGTATTATTCCCTTTTCGACAGAAACGAGTCTATACTGTACCTATCGCCAAAAAGTCCAGATTTTGTTTTTCACTTGAATTCCTGTAAAGGTAATCTCCAAAAAGCTCTGGAGAAGAAAATGCCGAAAAATATGTTTCTAATTATGCATAATGTATCCTTTATTCAGAAAATGGGATATACTGATGTTCTTCATGTTTAATAACTATACGGATAGAAGTCATTTAAATAGATTCAAGAGTTATCCGTGATTGGTAACCTATTATTAACCTAATCAACATGTCGGTCAAAATGCGCGTTCTATTCTCGTAGGTCCAATCAACCTTCATGAATCTCAATATTGTCATGAAATATACAGAGTTTCAAGCTTTTATTAACGATTAATACTATTCGTGGTTTCGTATTCTCTGTGATATCTTTCTCTGCCGTGAAATGTCTGTCATGGCACAGCTGCTTATCTCCGGGACGTGTGCTTAAATTAGTATTGGTTGGAGGACTAGGATAAATTCAGGATGATTAGACCATATAATATTCAAATTTGAAATATGTCACAAGTCAGAAGTGCTGTTAATTAAACAGGATATTCCAGTAACCAAATTATATGTATTGACAGTAGCCTCAATACCAGAGACTCATGAACGTGAAGCAGATTTCATCCAAATAATACTTGTTTGTAATGGTGAAAGTGAAAAACTAGATCAAAGTTAGAGTGCAAATTCACTGAAAATAAAATAAATAAAAAACTAAAACAATAACATCACTAATGCTATTGCCTGTTTTAAGTGTGTCCTCTATTTCAATAAAACTAATGTTATTACAGAGAACAAATCACATTTAAAATTAATATTTATAGCACAGTGAAAATGAAAGAAAGAAAACAATTAAAGACACAAACCCCAAATTCCAATGCAGTCTTATTAATGACGCAAAATCTCCTCTGAAATCAATATTTTTAGATTTTAATAACATGACCCCACCCCTCCAAACACAATATATTTTTATATTTTAATGACACAACTCCTCTCAACCAAGCACAATCGTTTAGATTTTAAATTCGCAGGTCCTCTTGTCGAAACGAAATATTTTTAGATTTTAATGACGCAAACCATCTCCTCCAAACCAATGTTTTTTGCCTTTAAATGACACAATCCACTTTCTTTCGCACGCGTTATTTTACAAGTTTAATGCATATGAACGATTGTTTCACAAACATCATCCATTTTTCGGATGTGCTTAATATCAGATGTCGGTTTGATAGCGATTTTCAATATCATCGATGAAATAAACCCATACAAAACCCTGTCTCAAACATATTTCTCTATAGACAATCTATCATACTTGACATCGTTCCAATATGGGCTTGGCGATCGATCTTATGTACTATAATTTTCGAAATGTTAATTAATCTCAGATGTATTACATTGACCTGGCTTGCTGGCTACTTTATGTAAAAATAGACATATAAAGGGACGTTTCCAATCAATGACATCAAATAAATATTTTACAATTTTGAAAAGCAAAACTAGACCCATTACTATAATCAAAATTATATCAATTTCTGATATTGTGCAATACATATTTCAGGCTGAGAGAGAGAGAGAGAGAGAGAGAGAGAGAGAGAGAGAGAGAGAGAGAGAGAGAGAGAGAGAGAGAGAGAGAGAGAGAGAGAGAGAGAGAGAGAGAGAGAGAGAGAGAGAGAGAGAGAGAGAGAGAGAGAGAGAGAGAGAGAGAGAGAGAGAGAGATTATGTTCTTGACGAGTTAATCTGTTATCGTTTTGTCGGATGATTTAGATCAATTTTGAATTTCGATTAAGCTGAAACTGAGAGATATGCTAGACAGTCTTGAAATCAAGATTATCAGTATTTATAATAAAATCGAGATTATTAGCGCTAATTAAAGCTAATTATTTTGTAGATGACTTTTGTTTGTCTCATCTCGTTTCTTGAAACATAATTAACTTACCTGTCATATCGAAGGTCCGTATTATGATGACATATGACACTAGAGTCCATGACCTAGACAGAAAACACATTTATTTGGATATTTTGACGTGACACAGCAGAAAGGTGGCATTTTATATTTGGACCAGAATCTTTAATCCCTAGAGCCCATAAAAAGTCCTTATATAAACACTATGTTGGCTATAAATTAATCAATCTTCCGTGGAAACATGAAACCATTGTATTCTCAAACAGCCATAAATAATTGTTACAGCGTGCGATAGGGGAAGAGTTCGTATCGCAATGGCGGCATCAAGAATAAATTCTCCAACTGTGTCAATATTTCCTGGCACTTACAAATCTTGATTTATAAATATTAGCAACCGTAGTGATTGCTTTGTTTATTATCGAAAGTAAACTATAGTATTCCATTATCAGTTTAATAAATATCATTTTTTTATGCTGTTGAGCAACTATAACAAGCAGATCTACTTTTGTTCATATTGGCGTGGGAATAATTATCTTATAAAATTAAGAACGACAAATGTTGCCTAAGCCAATGTAAACATTTCACATTTCACATTATCACTCTATTGTAACCAGATATTATGTTAAAGCAACAATCGCCAAAATTAAATGTGTATGTCCTACATTGGAAGAAAAAGATCATCTGAACTCTGTATTACTAGGATGTATTTGTTCTTTCAGGTTTCCTGCAACATTGGTTAAGGAGATTAAAGATGCATACATCCTATTTAAACCTGAATTTGTAAACTTTCTACTGGAAGATATTATTTATAAATAATGTATATAACATGATATCCAACTAACATAACAATTAAATATTTTAGCAACTTGCTACAAAGATCACGTGTGCACGATATGGAATAAATTATTTCTAATACAGCATAACGACGTTTAAAAGTGGGATGCTAAGCTATATAATTATTTTAATTTGATTATTCAAACGAAGATTCTATCAGAAAGAATGAAATGAAACTGACTCAGAAGCAAGATTTGATTAGTTTGATTCTTTAATCAATATTTAATGAATGCTTATTATTTTATAAAAAGGTAATTTTGTCTAATGGACACATAATTTTCACGTACATACATTATGCATAATCGGAATTTTGATGGCAAAGAGGTTATGCGTTGATTTGAATCTCTGGATTATCGATGTTTACCATAAAAAAAATCGCATGTTTGAATTAACAACTTTGAAGTTTTTATTACAATTTTTTTATATTTCAGTGAAAATTGTTTAGAGAGTAAGAAAAAAGAAAAGCGAATAATTTTGTTCATCCTTCCTGAGAGGTGCACCCTTCATTTGTTGTGTGTAAAAAATAGTTACCAATGAAGCTTAACTAGTATTAACGTTTAGAAGCAAATAATAGTCCGTTTACAATTATAAATCAAAGAACAATTGACCTTTCGAGTGAAGACACCTCCTGTAGCCTAGTGGTTAGAGCGTCCGCCTCGGATGCGTGAGGTCGTGGCTTCGATTACCGGCCAAGCCATACCATAGACTTATAAAGATAACAGCTTCCTCGCTTGGCGCTCATCATTAAGAGTTAGTGTTAGGACTAGTTGGCCTGGTGTTAGGATAATGTGACTGGGTGGGATATTATGCTGACGAGCACAGGTTATAACAAAAATCATTTTATCCCTTACAACGATGACATGTGTGAGGTCTGATAGGTACTGATACAGGAGACCATGTTTAGCGTTCGATTGTCGTACAACATCTTTTGTTGTTGAGTTGTAATTGGCACAGTAATGTAAATATTCGAGATCCTTGCGATTTTCGATATTGACATCGGTGAAGTATTAGATGTTGTCTTCCATATCTATATCATCTGGCCTGAAATAATTATAAAAGTTGATTAAAGTAGTCAGTTCCAATACACAGTGTTTTATGAGGAGGTCTGCGTCCTAGGTGATCGTAATGCTACCTTGATCCGACGTTACTACCTCATTTTTGCGTGGGCAAAATTTGCCTTCCAGCCACACCCATAGATCTTGTTGCAATGCGTTCTACGCTGACTTGCACGTTATTTGTGATAAACGCAGCTGCGGCTTCGTCAAGCAATTCTAGGTTTTGTAAAATGACGTCAGTGATGAAGACTTCCTCGTAGGACATTTTTTAAAATAGAGAATCCGCATTAAAATAAGCAAAATGGCTGAGGATCGGCAAAATCAGCTCAATGGTTTTATTGCACTGTACCGAGTCAAACAAATTGTCCGGACTGGTATAGTTCAATGTAGACAAGCATTGGTGGATCTGAACTAGCTATTGTACTTGGTTGTTGTCCTTTTAGCGATGTGGATTTGATTGTGTCTAAAAGAGAGTCCTGGTCTGGCAGTAAAATTGTATCGAAGACTTTACTTTGTTCTGGGAGGTCGCTGTTTCAGCCTGCATTACGTCTCTACGCGACACATATATTAGACAGTAAGATAGTTAGTAATGATATTTGCATCGCTGACGTGATTCCTTGGTTACGTTATTTTCCTGATGGTTAGAAAACGACAGAGAATCAAATGTTACTGCTCGAGTTTAAGTGTCTTTGTCTGAGACGTGTAAGTATTTTGTCCGAGTATTATTATTCGCAGGTGTTATCTGGTTTAACTGTATCTGCGTTTGTTTCGCAAGGGTTGTTGCTACATGCGGTGTTTCGCAAATGCACACGTCACCGCTTTATAATAAAAAAAAAATTACTGTGGGTGGAGACGACCGCACAGATTATGGCGATGCTGAGGATAAGTCACTGTTAGATTTACTTCATCAGGGTTTGGAAACGGATAAAAACATCGCAACTTACGTGTCGTTTAAACTGACGGCGATACAGAAACATTACATACGTTGCCGTGAAAATTACCAGAACGTGATCGACAAGGCCGTGTCAATTGTTAATGAAAAAATTTAATTGATCAAACCGTAATATTATTATCATGGCGAGTAACTGGGGCCTCACTCCTTGTTTGATCAATACGAGGGTAATGAATAAGGATATGTGCATCACGTGTGGAGAAGATTGTTTGCATTGAACACCATCAGCACGAGTTACTCCATAATTAGTATGAGTGGAGGAGGTATGATGGAACGCCATTGTTTTGTGTTTGAAATTCACCGTGGCATCGTTCCCATTGGCTACGTGATTGATGATCTGAACTGAAATAAATTCGATAACCGCCTAGAAAATTTGGGGATAGTAACGCAGCTTGAAAATATGTGTTTTGGATGTAATGTTGCTAATAATTTTTGTCCATACCGTTCTGTGTAATCGCCATAACTCTAGACATTGGAGAACAGACCGAATACAGGCCTATATGACGATCTGAGGAAGCTTTAGGGATAAATCCCAGAGCGTTAGAATTTGTGGCCGATAACATCACGCAATCGGCTTTTTCCAAGTAACTCAACGTATGTTTTTCTTTTCGATAGATCGTCTAAACGTGTGGGCCTTAAACCATTTTGTGTAACACCTTTCTAAATCTGTTTAAGGACATTGATGTCATTTCGATGATAATGTCGTCTACCGTTCTTAAGCTCTTGAATAATGTCAAATTTAGTCTACCGTAGGAATAACGTTTTTTTGCTGAGCACGTTTTGATAGGCTAAAAGCGTTTGCATGTCATTATTTATTTTTTGTCCATTAATGCTGGATCAAACGTTTTTCCAGGATTATGAGCGGTCAGGTTCATAAAAGAAGTGTGCGCTATTTCTTTGCAGAAAGGGTTTGGTAGGCGTTACCTCTGAAGATAAACTTGAATATCATAAACTCGATGTCGTAAACGTCATGGCAATCAGACCGCCGAATGAAAAACATTAAGATTACGTTCACAAAATTTCACTTCACAGACAAGATTCCTTTTGTTTTTTTTTTCGCGGATTTAAAAGCATTGATCGAACGGAGTTGTCAGCAACCAAGTTTCCCCATTCCGTATCAGGAGCAAGTGCCATGCAGCTTTGTAAACAAGATCACGAATATCAAGCAACATTACAGCTCAGAAGAACTGCTTTACAGAGGACCCAATTGTGAGGAAAAATTCGTGCAGGATTTTGGAGAAGAAATAAAATATACGACATTTTTCAGGCGCACGTGGTTCTGAACCGCTCACGACGTGTGTCATTTAAGTCCAGTAGTGATTCAGATCTCATCGAAAAATTGCTCGGAAGAATAAAATATCTTGTATTCCTGCCACAAGTGATTGATGCCAGCGTTGCTGGACAGTCTGGTGTATACATCATCATCATCATCATCGTCATCATCATCACCACCACCACCACCACCACCATCATCATCATCATCATCATCATCATCAGCATCATCAGCATCAATCCCTTAACCTAAAAGGTCGTTTGGGCACCACAGTTGACTTTACAACCAATTTTTTCCATATTTCCCTGTTCTTTACTGCCCTTTGAGAATCTACAAATTCCATGCTTGTCCACTCCTTAATGTTGTCTTCCCACCTTTTTTTTCTGTCTGCCTCTTCTTCTGCATCCTCGCACTGTGCCTTACAAAATTGGTTTTGCCAGTCCAGATGATCTTGAGACTTGACCGTACCACTTCAGTTTGAGCTTTTCCTACAGTGATCAAGAGGTCTTCATAGGATCCGATGGCTCGTTAGAGCCTCTTGAGGCCTTCTTCGTTGGTTACATTATCAATGTATGAGATGCCAAAGATCTTGCGGTAGCATCTCATTTCGAAGGTTTGAACCCTTCTTTGCAGATTTGATGTGAGCATCTATGTTTCGCAAGCATATAGAAAGATGGATATGACAATTGAACGCATCAGCCGTATTTTAAACCAAAAGCAATGTTGGTTTCTTTCCATATTGGTCTCAACCTTGTTACTGCTGATGTTGTTTGGACAATCTTGCAAAGTAGCTCTGCTTTGGAGCCCTCATCTGTGATAATTGGTCCCAAGTACTTGAAGCTTGTGACTCTTTCCAGCTTCTAACCTTCTGTACTGATGTCATTGGTGTTGTTTGCATCAGTTTAGTTTTCTCGGGGCTAATCTCCTTACCGTATGCTGGGGATGCTGTGTCAATGTTTTTAACCAAGTCAGAAAGTTCATTGTCATCTCCTGCTAAACCATCAATATCGATATTATTGGTTTCAACATACCTAAGAGAAATACGGGAACGCGACAGAGTACGTCTCGCGTAAAGGACTTTATCCTTACGAGTAAATGAACGGAACGACTAGATCGAATTTGAGGAGGTGTCGCTACAGTCTAGAAAAGCATTTTACAGCTCTGTCACCGTATTTATGGGACGTCTATGAAATGCATCACCTACGAGATTATCACGATCTGTATCTGACCATGGACGTGTTATTGCTCGCGGTTGTTTTCGAAAGTTTTAGGGATGTGTGTATGTCTTATTATGGACTAGATCCTTGGTGGTATTATTTCGCGTCAGGACTTTCGTAAGACTCCGCTATAAATGTGAGCGGAGTCAGTTTAGATTTGTTTACCGATGTCGACATGCGTAACTTTGTCTAAAAGGGAATAGTCGAAAGTATCAGCGTCATCGCTCACAATTATCGGTTGCCAGTAACAAGCACATGCCATATTACCATCTGAAAAAAAGGAGTCTAAGTACATCATTTATCTGGATACAAATAACTGGGCTATGTACAGCCGATGCCAGTTGGAAATTTTATCTGGATAAACTCGGAAAATTTCATTTACGACAACCTCAACTGCTATAAGGAAATCGACTGCTTCCTCGAGGTGGACTTGTGCTCACACGTTCGGGTTAAAATAAAAACGAACCTCGAGTGCGGAGGAGCAAACACGACCAAATCTCATGAGAAAAAGCAGGTGCGTGATTCATTACAGAAATCGTAGGCAATATCTGCTCTTCGGAGTAGAGTTTGTTCGGATATAAAACGGGATAAAACCCGACCAGAAAAAGTGGATAGAGGCTCACATTCAGTTTAATACTTCCAAGCGATCCATGGCCAAGACAGATTTCGAGAAGGATTGTTTCAAGCTAATGAAAAACTTGTTGTTTGGCAAAGCCATGGAAAACAGCCGAAATAGTCAAAGTCGATTTTGTCAACGACATCGAACGCAGAAACAAGCTGGTCAGCGATCCAACGTTTGTCAACTTGAAAATCTGTCCAAGCTGCCCATATACCATTTTCGTCAAATTGCGTTATAGTACAAAATCTATGTTAATGTTTATAGGCACGGACAGTTGATGTTACGAGATTGTAGCCGATAATGTGTACCATGACATGTTTGAAGACAAACACTATTTTGAATTTTCGGATTGTCCCAATTCCAGTCCGTTTTACGATGAATCAAACAAAATGGTCATCAGAAAGTTCAAGGACGAAACGAACTAAGTGTCATGATTGGAATTCATCGCACTTCCCGGTAAAATGTACTCGATCCAATTAGCCGGTGGCAAAGTCAAAACACGCGCTAAGGGCATCTAAAAAGCGTTGTTCGAATATCACGCCTGCAAGAAAATTACATGGAAGCATTACATGGAGTCCAAA